TGATTTTAGCAAATGGCTGCAATATAACAAAGAGTGAAAAATTTAAGGGGGTCTGAATACTTTCCGTACCCACTGTATGTGCCGAATGTGCTGTATTTATTCATATTATGAATTGGCTTTTATTTTTAGATGTTCAGTTTTCTTTTTAATTTTAGTTGACTTTTTAGTGATTGTGTGTCATTTATTATTATTATTATTATTATATTCTATTTTTTATTTGAATTTTTATAGTAATTCTGAATAGCTTTAATTTTGCATAATTGTTTTGTTGGTTAATGTGCCCTGCAGGTGAATGGAGTGGATCTGCACAGCGTGGCTCACGAAGACGCAATAGCTGCTCTACGGCAAACACCAGCCGAAGTGCGGTTGACGGTCCTGAGAGATGAGGCGCAATACAGGGACGAGGAGAACCTCGACATGTTCCGCATTGAACTTCAGAAGAGAACCGGACGCGGGCTGGGCCTGAGCATCGTTGGAAAGAGGTGAGTGCAAACTTGTTTTCCTTATGAGGAGAAGAGAAAAAAATTATTTTAAAATAAAATGATTTAAAAAATGCACAATACAATAGTAATCATTTTAAAATAATATAAAATATAAAGCACAATACAATATCATTTTTAAAAAGTATCTTAATAAAATGCACAGTACAGTAAATATAAATAAAATGAAGAGTACAGTAATTTTGAAAAAATAATATAATGAAAGGCACAATAATATAATAATTAAATATATAATACAGTATTTTTAAAATAAATAAAACAATACTATAATCATTTTAAAATACAATCAAATAAAATTATTTTAAAATAATAAAAATTCACAGTTTATTATTTTTAAATAATACATGTATTAATTTAGCAGACACTTTTATTCAAAGCAACTTACATTTTCAAAATACACAGTACAGTGATCCTTTTGAAATAAACTAATAGAATGAAATGCACAATACACTAATTTAAAATAAGATAAAATGTACAATACAATAGCAATCATTTTAAAAATAATAGAATAAAATAATACTATAGTAGTTTTATACAGTAATAGTTTTGAAATTAAATAATAATAAATGATGCTCAATACTATAATAATTTTAATATAAAACCATAAAATAAAATGCACAATATAATAATCTTTTTTTTTTTAATTATTAAATTAAATGCATAATTGAAGAATATAAAAAAATTAAAATGAACTGCACAATACAATAGTTGTTTGTGCAGTTCAATATGGCATTTCCTACATTTCCTCTTTCTTGTTTTCTCTCTCTTCAGAAATGGTAAGGGTGTGTTCATCTCAGATGTGGTGAAGGGCGGCGCGGCTGATCTGGACGGCAGGCTGATGCAGGGGGATCAGATCCTGTCTGTGGATGAAGAGGACATGAGACAGGCCTCACAGGAGACTGTTGCCGCCATTCTCAAGGTGAGCTCCACCTGAATCCTAAAACTCAAGCCCAGTTTACAACATGTTTCAAAAGCAGGCTACAAGAGCAGATTTATTTGCAGCGGCAGTTGCGGGATACTGCCACTAAGTGTCGCTGTTTGATTGTGTATTTAGTGGCTGTTGAGGTCTGTGGTATTTGTAAACAATTTCGGATTTCTTATTTAAACATTTTGTTTAGTCTACAACCACATTGATGAATTCAAAGAGATTTTATAAAAAAAAAAATGCTGCAAAGTTTATTCCTACTAAAAAGAGCTTGAAGCATTCATGGGGGTCCAAAGTGTTATGTAGGACCACATAATTAATTTCAAGTGACAAAAACACTGAATTTCATATGTCTTTTATAATGGTCAGGATAGACACCATATTTAATTTTATGCAAAATAAAAAAGGGCTATGATCGATAGAAATATGTCAGCATACAGGTTGTACCGTCAAATTAAATGTGGCATCTAACCCACCCGTTTTATTTGTTTACATGTAGATCAGATGCACATTCACTCTATTAACGGTTTTGGCCTCCTGTAATATTTTTTTATTTAAACAGTACCATCAGATCAGTTTATCACAGTGTTTGCTAAGGTCAGCACAGATATCAGCATATCAGCTGTCCCCACAAATGTGCTCGAAATTGATATTAAACAATATCCAGCCCAACCCTTCTGTAAGTTTTAAGTCATAACAATTCAAGTAACGTCCAACACTTTGACAAGGCCCTTTGACATGATTCACATTAGTGTTCCCCAGATTTTTTTTTTTCTAAAATTAATAACAACAAATTGAATTGAGTAATAAGATTGTGTTACAAATGTTATTACAAAGAGTTCATAGAATCATATGTTAGATATATAATGCCAAAATTGCAGAATAAATCTTGTCAGTTTTGTCATGTTGTTAAGATGTTTTGTTTTTTTAGCTTAAACATGATCATATGTGTGTATATATGTATATACATATAATACACTATTATATATTATACATATTACAATATATTATACACATTATATAGTTTATGCAAATGAATTGAAAATTGTCCATGCATGGCGCTCTCTGCTGCTCTTTGGGAGTCATGTGAAAAGGCCTTAATGATAATGTTCTGAACAGGGCAAAAGGAAGCTGCAGTATTGTGCCAGTTGGTGGAATTGTGGGAAATGTTGGCTTGAAAGAGGTTGCATTGAGCCCGTGTTGTTTGGCTGTACCCTCCCTGCGGAGTTCAGCTCAATGGGGTTGGCTCTCTGGACGAGAGCAAGGATGTGTTGTGGCATCAGGTCTTTGGATGTGTGTAAAGGTTCTCGAAAGTATGTGAAAGTGTATTTGAGAGGGAATGAGTAAGAAGACACAGTCCACAGTGCCAAACCTGTGTGTGCTGTGATCCTGCAGTGCGCCAGGGGCAAGGTGCTGTTGGAGCTGGGCCGACTGAAGGCTGCCTCCTGGATCTCTTCCAGACGCACCTCCCAGGGAAGTCAGGTGTGTAGCCTGTGCCCGACACCTCATTGGGCTTCCCTGCCACGTCTTAAAAACTCGAAGTCCAGCATGCTGAGCTCTAACCCAATCAATAGTGCATGTTAGCGGACAGGCAACTCAGCAGTGTACTACTGTATGTTACTCATCCATATTGCCTGAGAAAGCAAAGGGAGTGTGTGTTTACGTGTCCGCATGCACTCACTTGTCACTAACCGAGACGTATGCATGTGCGATGGCATGAGTATGTTGTATATATGTGTGGAATAGCACCTTCAGCTAACTCTTTCTACTTTAGATGAGCCACGTGAGCGCCAACAGCAGCACCCCAACCCCCATGCCCCCTGCTGTGTTCCCGCCCCCCTCTCAAACCCTCAACAACAACAGCCAAAACATCACCGAGACCAACAGCAAAAGCACAGGTACTTCTCGCACCACATCAGCACTTAAGTAGCAGGAAACAGCCATAAAACGGCTATAAATCAGCCTTAAAACTACACATTTCTTATCTGTCGACAGCTAGTGGCAGTGTTTAGAAAGTGCCTTAGAATAAAGTTGCGGTCATATTTGCTGTTGTTTCATTAGGAATTCGGGAATTTCGTGTCAGGGCGAAAGATTTCCCCAAGCAGGGTTCAGGTTGGTCACGCAAATGTGCCACGTTGACCATCAGCAATCTGCCTGGTTTGAAAGTGACTTTTTTGTTAGCTGTCCTTAATACATCACAAAGGACTAAAGAAATTTAGCAAAAGTTTTAGCTCAAGTCGTCTTTCAGCAACCACTTTTATTCCCTTCGAGCAAGTGATATCTCATGGATCGCTAGTTTAAACCAGTGGTATACAAATGGCCAATATATAATGTACATGAATATGTAATACAACTACCAATTGCTGGAACTGGAACAGGTTGGCAAAGCAAGCATAATTGATGCTGATATATAGTTAAACATTCAACTCATTAAACTCAGCTGTGTATGCCACCTTTTACAATCACTTGATTTGTTTTCCTAAATTCTGCCAACTTTAGGTTATATTTCTAATGTTAAATCCATGCGGATTCAGGTTCAGGCATACTAAAATATTCCTATATATTTGAATCATTTTCTAGTTTCAATCTAGATTGGACCATCCATCAGCTACCACAGTTGTGTTCCTCAGTAAAACATTCAGGAATTGGATTTAAACGTTTTAAACTCTTAAAGGATTGTAATTCGAAAGTTGGTGTCTGACTTTTTATCCCTCCAGGGACAGAGCCAGGTGTTCGGACCGTGGAGATCACACGGGTAAGACCATTTACCTCCCTACACCTCTGTGTGTGCTCAGTGGTTTGGCTATCGTGCTCAATAGTTACAGTTTTACTGCACCCTTGTCTCGCTCTCTTAGGGTCCCACTGATGCTTTGGGTGTGAGTATAGCGGGTGGTAAGGGCAGTCCGCTGGGCGACATCCCCATTTTCATCGCCATGATCCAGGCCAACGGCATGGCTGCCAGGACACATCGCCTCAAAGTACAGCATCCTTGCCTTTACCATTCCTTTCTATTGCTCATTTTCCACTTTCTCCTGTGTAAATCAGGCAGAGAGTTATTGATTAAGCATCATACAGTGGTTTGGGTGTGAAGGGCATTGCTGGGGATTGGGTTTGTATCAGCGTGAATGAATTTCAAGCAATTTTTCCTTTAATTTACCTCTCTTAGGTAGGTGACAGGATTGTGAGCATCAACTCTCAGTCTCTGGATGGCTTGACTCATGGGGATGTCGTAAATATGCTGAAGAATGCGTATGGCACCATCGTCCTCCAGGTACACGTTCAACTCAATAACACTCTTCGTTCATTAAATTGGCCTGCTTTCGGATGTTTACTATTTGCAGCGGCATAGTTCATGATGTAGACCACTCAAACAAAGCAACCAATTTCTGGCTAAAGGCCTGTTAACACCAAGGACGTTGACTATAATGATAACGATAAACGTATAGTTTTAAAAATCTTTCTACTATGTCAACCACAACGATAGCGGTTCAAAGAAACAATATTGTTGGAATCATTTTCAGAGTGATTTTTGTACGTTGGTGTGAATTCTAATATAGTTACCGTTAAAGTTATCTTTATAGTTATCGTTCTTGATGTGAACGGGCCTTAAGTAAGTACCTTTGGGCCAAAACATACTTTCGCAAGTATGCAAACATGACTGTTCTGACAAAAGCATGGTCCGTTGTTTGTACATAAAGTGCATTCTTGCGTTATTGTTGCGTAACTTATTTTGATTAACTTGCTCAGCAAGATTTTCTTCAAATTATTGCTCTGACACGACAGCAATTGTCCTTATAGAGAAAGCTTACTGTAGCTACAGTGCCACAGTACAGGAGTTTGTATATGTTAGCATTTATTGGTAGATATCAGAAACGAAGGTCACCATATTAAGTATACCATGGTACTTTTTTTGTAAGTGGTGTATCGTGGTGTTTTTGCATGTAGCTGCGGTTTCAATGATGTTTGTATACATGCGTGTATTGTGTGCTGTTATTGCTATGCAGAGCCGGCGTGTGTGTATATGTTCTGAACGGTTATCAGTGTGTGTTAGCGGAGTCGGTGTATTGAAGGACAGTGTGCTGTGTGTATATGTGTGAGTGCGTGTTTGTTTGGACTCATGGTGGTGTGTGTGTGTGAGTGGTTGTTGCTGTGTCACTGGGCTGTTATCAGCTGTGTGCAGCTGTGTGGCAGTTGCGCGCGGGTTGCCAGATAATCCCAGGCCTTTATGCAAATGTTCCGTTATCTGCATGGTTCCAGGAGGAATGCACAGGGCTTTTAAACAGGGGAGCCCAGCCTGCAAAGCCCTGATTACAGCAGCTCAGAGAGCAATTATTGTTTAGCTCTCTCTCTCTCTCTCTCTGGCTCATTCATTCCCTCTTCACTCGTTTGAGAGAGCTTACTTTCTCTCTCTCTCACTCTCTGGCTGCTATATGTTTAATTGGACATATGTAATGCCCTATGCGATTACTCATGTCACAGAAATCAGATAAATTGATATTGTTTTGTCATTCTGTCTGTGATAATGTGCTTTTTTTGGGGGGGGGAGAAATTTAGTTGTTCCACCCTACTGAAGTATATATCTCTCACCAACTCCCACTTTGTCTCTAGTTTTCTCTCTTTTACGTTTTCTTTTGCAAACACAAGTAACTAACTATAACCATTGCTAATTTTTATGTTTTTTTTTTAATGACAAAAAAATTACTGCATAGCAATCTGCTATTAAACACCCAGAACACCCTAGCAACCATCTAGCAGCATAGCAACATTCTGAAAACCACTTCAACACTTGAACTGCATAGCAACACCTTAGCAGTGTAGTAAATACTGCTTTAAACACTCAGAAAGTGCATCACATCACATTGCAATGCCTTGGCAACCACTCAGAACACCCTAGCAACAGACTAGTAGCCACAATGTAATTTTCTATAAACCACTCCAAACCACCTGGCAACTGCATCGCAACAGCCTGGGCATTAAATAAAAATCTTGTTTAATAAATGGGTTTTATCAGTCATTTATTGGCAATTAATGTTACACCCTAGCAACCACCCATTTTCTTTCTCTCTTTCTTTTTCTTTCTTTCTTTTTTCTCATTCTCTTTTAACACTTTTCTGTTTCTCTTTTCTTTTTTTCAGCCTCTTTCTTTTTTCTTTCTCTTTTATTAGTGTTCCTCTTTCTTTTATTTATTTATATTTCTTTCTTCGCTTTTTTCTCACTCTTTTTTCCTTTTTGTTGGCTTCTTTCTCTTTTTTTCTCACTTTTTCTTTTATCACTCTTTTTATTTGCCTTTCTTCCTGTTACTTCTCTTTCTTTTTTCTCATTCTTTTTTAACTGTTCTTTTTTTGTATTTTTCTTTATTTCTATTTCTTTATTTTCTTTTTTCAGCCTCTTTCTTTTTATCAGTGCTCCTCTATTTATATTTCTCTTTTTTTCTCACTTTCTTTTCTCACTCTTTTTTTATCAGCCTCTCTTTCTTTCTTTCTTTCAGTAGGTGCAGGCGAAGATAGCGAGTGTGATGACTTGGAAGTGTTTCACTGTTGTTGTTTACTCATTCATTAATTAGCTTTTGTTTATTGTTGTGTATTTTACTTTTAATTGCCTTGCCGTTAATTAAATATGCAAATTAATATGCCACTGCCCTCATAGCCAGCCCTGAGTTTAATGGAAGAGGAAAGTTTAAAAGAAACCTGACAGAAAAAGGCATTTTTGATTCTGGTGAGGGAGACCGAGGTTTGATGAACAGCGGCTGAGCGATCGGTCGCCAACAGTCACCAAGAAGAACATTAAAGGATTGTAAGGATGCATTTCAGTGCCACACACACACACAACATAGAGAGCAGTTTCCTGTTATCTACAGGCAGACAGTCGTTTGTGAAAACACACACATGTCTAAATGGAAGGAAACACACTTTCAAGACCGAGTCATTTATTTGCTTTAAATGTTTGACAGTGTCTGTCTGTGATTGACAGGTGGTTGCCGACACCAACATCAGTGCCATAGCCAGTCAGGTGGAGAGTCTGTCCAGTAGCTCCACCCCAAGCACCAATCCAGAGGTCCGGCCGGTAGAACCAGAGTGAGTGACATCACAGTGGCAACTAGACTGTTTGAGTGTCCTGTTTGACCTTAAACACTCCGTTACAGTAGTCTCAGGTGATCATGTGATTTTGTTCTGTGTGTATATATCTCATAAATGTTGTGTGATACTGACAGGACGCCCAAGCCAAAGACCATCACTCTGGAGAAGGGCTCAGAGGGGCTGGGATTCAGCATCGTGGGCGGCTTTGGGAGTCCACATGGAGATCTTCCTATCTACGTCAAAACCGTGTTCAGCAAGGTAATTCCTGTAGGATCACATTTGCAGATTAAATTGAACTAAACACACTTGGGCTGCATTTACACTGGCACAAAAATCTGATTTTTTGCTCACAGATTGGAATTTGTTGCACATGTGTAAACACAAATCCACACAAGATCTGATTTTTTTCGCATCTGATCTGAGCCACTTCCAAATGTGGATTTTAATCGGATACATATCCGATATCTGGACATCCGACCTACGTCTAAACACACATATCCAAATCTACACAGAGCTCCCAATGCGAGGGCGACACGTTTGCCCATAAAGATAAATAAATAATTTCTTTCTTTCTTTTATTGCTTTATTTCTTTCTCTCATCAGTCTTTTTCTTTCTCAAGCACTCTTTTTCATTTCAATTTAAATTTGCTGAATAGAATGTTTGAATATTTGTATTGTTTATTCGTTCAATTTTGAATATATACATGTACATGTAAATGTATTTATTTTTATGTTTATTGTAGCAATAAATATAATGTTTATAATGTGTGGAATATTGTAATTTATAATATTATTTTTATATTGATTAAACAGTTACTCACTCTATAGATAGATAGATAGATAGATAGATAGATAGATAGATGGTGTTTTATTGCTAACTAAAACTTAAAAACAATTTTTGTCAATTGAAAAAAACTACATAAACAATATAAATATTACATTAAAAAAAACTTAAAAAACAAATGAAAATTATAAAATGTTTCATTGTCAACTAACTGAAATAATGTTTAAGTTGAATTACTAAATTTGCTAAAACTGAGATAAAAATTAATCAATATAAATAATAAAAAACTAATAACGCATAACCAAATTACTCAAACTTAAATTAAAATGAAAACTTATAGAAATATATATATAAAGGCTGTTTTAAAATAATATTAAATAAAATAACAGTAAATAGCACAAAAATAACACTGATATGTAATAACACTTTAATGCTATTTAAATTAATATTACTTTTTTATAACAGGCTGTTAAAATCAAAACATTTCAGACACTTACTTATTTTTGCTTAAATGTTCAGAACCCTGCATATACAAACATATGTACAATATGAAAAGGTGGATGTGTAAAACAGATAAGAAATGTATTTTCCTACAGCATGTTGCTATGTGCAGACTGTACTCTGTTCATGCTCTGGCCACCAGGTGGCAGCATAGAGCTCTGTTTCACAGGAACATAACCAGCAATAACTCTTGTCAAACACTTCATATTCACCTAGAAACAACACATGATTTGTGTTTGTGATATGATTCTTCTGATGACTCTTCCAACCCCACTGGCAGTCCATGAATGTCCTTCACGGACATATTGTTCAAAGAAAACATATTTGAAAATATGAAAGTAATATATCATTTAAATATTATTTATATATAATCATATTTATATGTAATAATTCAGAATGTTCAATATTATGTATATACATATCATTTAAATACTATATAAGGATATTTCTCAAATTTGTTACATTTAATGATCTGCATTATGGTCAATTGGTCACATTTAATTCTGTGAATTAATAAATAATATTGTCCTTTTCTTACCTACAGGGGGCAGCGGCGGTGGACGGGCGTCTGAAACGCGGTGACCAGCTGCTATCGGTCAATGGAGAGAGTCTGGAGGGTGTCACACACGAGCAGGCCGTGGCCATACTGAAGAAGCAGCGGGGAAGCGTCACACTGTCCGTCCTCTCCTAACAAACACACTAAGGACTACATCCACTGAAAAACACACACTTTGCATCAGCTGCGGCCATTATTCGGCCACCTTAATTCCTGATATGGAGACCGTTTGCACTCAAGTCGTTTAAACTCCGCCTTCTTACTGTTTGTGCACCTGGTATCGAAATCAATCTGATAAATACTCATAAAGGGAAATTATTGTATCGCCTTTGTCTTAGTCACAGACATGTAGCCTCTCCACTGGTGACGGTGAGCAGGTGAATAATGGGGCAATATTAGAGAAGGTTATTTTGATGAAATGAGTGCTGGTAACTCAAGACCAGGAGGAAAAATTAAAGTAGCGGATGCACAACACACACTAACACACGCAATTTGTTTGTAATGATCTTTTCAGTCCACATACAATAACTTATAATGTGGTTATCTTGATCTTTTAATTTAAAACAATATGTACATGACCTACTGACAAACCAACCCTATTTACAAGAAATCTGATTAATTGTATGTAGTAGATGAATTCATGGATGAGCATTAATAAGGGATGACAGATGTGCCTTGGAATGGGCAGATCAGATCGTAATGAGATGTTTTGTTTAGCTAGTATTAGATATAAGGATCATTTCAATCAGGTTCTTTACATTGCAGGGTAGCTTTGTGAATATTTCAAGAAATAGTTCATCAAAAGATGAAAAAAAACATCCCTGATGTTGCTCCAAACCGGTGTGTTACTCTTTCTTCTGTGGAGCTTAAAATTAGATATTTTGCTAAATGTTCACGCTGCTCTCTTCTATACAATCAAAGTGGATGGGGACTGGAGTTTTTGTGATTCAGAAATGCCAACAATATCCATAAAATATCACTAAATTGTTCATATGACTCATGCACTACATTTTATGAAGTTGTACAATAGTTTGGCGTGACGGAAAGAAGTTGTTCATATGAATTGTGTATGATAGTTTTGCATGAGGAATGATTTTAAGTGTTTTGTCACTTAAAATCTTCCCTGAAATAAAACTTTCAGACAATTTTTTTTATACAAAGCTATTATTGTACATCGTTTTCACTTTAAAATCTTTCTCCGAAATTAAAATTTCATACAATTCTTTACACAGAGCTTTTATTTTCCTTCAGGAGTCTTAAAAAGTTCCAGTCCCCATTCACTTTCTTTGTATGCAAAAGAGCAGCCTTGGCATTCTGTTCTTAGCAAAATATCTCCTTTTAGGTTCCACAGAAGAAAGTAAGTCATATGGGTTTGGAATGACATATATGATGACAATTTTAATTTTGGGGAGAACTATTCCACTCTATTATGTTTCTATGGTGTATTGAGAAATGCATAACATCACAGAAATGCATAACATTTTTTTTTTTTTACATTTTTGTAATTCTATTTGTAATTAATTTGCACACGTTTATCATTTCATTGTAAATATGTAATTTATTTCCTTTTTTAGGGTGTTTTTGCATTGCTTTTGTCTTTATGGAAATGTCTCGCACATCCTAGTTTGACACTGTGTGTGTGTGTGTGTCTGTGTGTCACAATATGAGGATATCCTGTGTCAGTCTCTCTCCTAGAGGAAGTGTAGCAGGCTCTTCAGAGACTATCAGGGCTCTCCAGGTTGTAGACAGCGTGTGGAAGCCTCGTCCAGACTGTCTCTTCCACTAGGATTTCGTAAGCACATTCTCATATGATGCCTCTTGAGTTTTTGTGCCATGTGGACAGTGCGTTCTGAACTGTCCAGCACTACGTCCCTTTAAAAAGATTGCCTGTATCTCCTATGCCTGTCTTCCCCTTTCTCCTTAAAGAAATGCAACGCCCCAATCTGCTACCTTCAGCTAGATCTTTACATTTGGGCTGTGAACCACAAAACCGGCTTGAATCATGTCGAATCTTCAACTCGCCCTCAGATGACTCGAGTAGTAACAGCTTTTTATCAGCCATTTTTCTGTCAGTGTAAAGTCCAAAGAAACCATTTAGTTAAATTCATACATTAGGTACAGATCTAAGCCTGAAATAAAGCTGATTTATTAACATTTGCAAAACAAACAAGTGGTCATTATGGTCTTTTGACTTTATTTTGGACAAGTATAGAATTTATCTAAAGTGTCAAAAAATAAAGTTATTTTCATTTTAAGCGTTTTTTGACTTCTGCATTTTTAATGATTTTATTTTAAGCGTTATTTTAATGTTTTAATGCACAAGAAACATTCACAACACCTATTTCTGCACTTTTTGACATGCACTACCATTTAAATGATTAGTGACCGTAAGATATTTTTTTAAGAAAATAATTTTGTTCAGCAAGGGTGCATTACATTTAATCGAAAATGTAAGACATAATGTTGCGAAAGATTCATATATCAAATAAATGCTGTTCTTTTGAAGTTTAGTCATCAGAAATATTTCCACAAAAATATTAAACCGCACAGCTGGTTTCAACATTAAAAATAAATGTTTCTTGGACAACGAATCAGAAAGATCAAGAGACAGTAATGGCTGGTGAAAATGTAGCTTTGAATCACGGAAAAAATACATTTAAAATATATATTAAAATAGAGAACAATTATTTAAAATTATAATAATATTTCACAATATTAGTGTTTTCACTATATTTGATCAAATAAATGCAGCCTTTGTGAGCGTAAAAGACTCAAAAACATTAAAAATCCTATATGATCCAAGACTTTTAACCTTAACTTTTATGAATATTATTAATTATTATTCAAAGAGGTTTGCACAACAAAAATCAGTGAGATACTGAATGTCTGATATTACACTAACATGTTCACAAATTGTTAGGACAACATCCTCTAGTATTAACTGCAGTTCATGTAGTCGATTAAAAAAACCTCTGCTAACCTTTGGTACAAGATGTCCGCTATTAAAATGATAACTTATTACAATAAAAAGTAAGATTAACATGGCGTGCTGATTGTGGACGTTTTCTTGAGATTACATCTCGGTCACTTTTTCATCGGTTTGGTGAACGATCGCGTTCTCATATGCTTTAGGGCAGGGTTCCTCAAATCTTGCCCTGGAGGGCCAATGCGCTGCAGAGTTTAGCTCCAACCCTGATCAAACTCACCTACCTGAGATTTTCTAATGATCCTGAAGACATTGATTAGCATGCTCAGGTGTGTTTGATTAGGGTTAGAGCTAAACTCTGCTGGAAAGTGGATCTCGTGGGCCAGATTTGAGGATCCCTGCTTTAGGGTCTTCGCTGCTCCTGAAAAACAATTGTCTCAACTCCAGAGATTAATACATACATTTTAATGGGAATATTCACTCTTTTTCATTCCTTTTAATCATTGACATTTACATTTTAACCTTTTAAAATTTAATCTGAGAATAATTTCAAGAACATCACGTTAAACAAAGCATCAGATGAGGCGTTTATTCAGACTGAACGTAATTTCAGGCCATGTCAATATTTCTCATGCGGTTTCATTAATGATAGTGTATCTTTTTACAGGCTTGGATCACTCTAAGCTTTATAACGGCTGTATTATTGAGGTATTATTACCTGACTACGTCGAGACTGGTTTCACGGGTTGATCCATTAGTCCTGGGTATTCAGTGGACACTGCTTCTGGTTTGCTTTAGTCAACAAAGACAGATTCAAATGTTTACACAGACCAGCTTTCGGAAACTAGTTGCTAATTAAAATGAGTGTATTACATGAACTATAAAGACAGATAAACATGGTTTGTGAGACTTTATAGTACATTTAGACATGTAACGGTAGGCTATTAGGCATTAGAAAATTAAGGAATGGGCATTATGCATTTCACTAATAAAGAAAAATGAAAATTCTGGAATAGCTATTAGTCCTACTCACATTCATGACTGACTTTCTTTAGCGACACACAAACAAATATATTTTGGACCCCATTGACTTGTAAGTTCTTCAAAATTATTTTGTGTTGTTGTGCGAAAGAAAGTCATACAGGTTTGGGGACGACAAGAGGGTGAGTATCGATTCTAAATGTTGACAAATTTTCATTTTTAGTTGAACTTTGTCTCTTCAATGTTACAATTGCTACTGGTTTTAGTATGGTGTTGAAATTGAAGCAGATAATTACCTTGGAGTTTCACACCAGGCTTTGTTTACTAGGAAGACAACGAAGATGAGAAAGAGGAACACGGCAATGGCGATTATTCCCGTAAACCAGTTTGGCAGAGCTTGCTCTGCTTTTTCTGAAAGAGACGCGTGCCATAAATACAAGAACTGTATGTTAAAATACCTCAAACCAGAGGCGTCATGCCCATTCAAAGTGAGGGGGGCACGTGCCCCCTCAGATTTCTGAGCCAAGTGGATTGTAAATGCAGCTTCCAAAAGACAAAAAAATAGCCGAATAATATATAATATACCCTACCGCCTGTCGTGCCCCGCGTGAGACAAACGTCTGACTGCAGTGCATTATTATGATATAAATATAGTAAACCAATCCATAACATAACCAAAGCGATAACCATCATCTCTATGCTAACACTGATTTTCATTCGAAAAATTGCACCTGCTTAATGAATACGTTATTGTAGGATGACAGCAGTGGAATCACTCAAAACAGGATGAGATGAAATTGTTTTTAATTATGAATGCATCATTGTGTTGGATGAGTTAGGTTAAACGTAAATATTGCAAGAAATCCACTGTGGTTCACTGCAGGTGGCAAATTTATAAACAATTTTACATTGTGCCATTTTCATACATCTTGCTTCTAGAGCATGTTTTCAGGTATTAGCACATGATAGTTCATGTACTGTTATTGTAAAGTGTTACCTATATTTTTATATTTGATCACACCGGTGTGATTAGAACGTTCAGTGCTGCACATCACCAGCTGCTAAATTCAGATCTGCGTTCGCGCTTTCAGTGTTGCCAACTAATTTTCAGGGGAAGTTGCTAAAGGAAGGTTGATTTGTTGCTAAAAGTTGCTAAATGATGTTGTGATGTCATTGAGGGATGACGTCATTACGTAATCACGACGCAAAATTGTCAAATCTCAGCAAAAACATATTTTTATATGTTCATTTAGATTTGTTCGTAATAATATAAATGCATAATATAATATTAATATATAAGTAAATAAATGTAAATACACTGAATCATCGAAAGCTTACACATTTTTGAACGATTACAATTTAAGTTTGTTTTATTGTTATTATTAGCTAGTACACAAGTAAAACTACAAATTCTGAACAATTACTCTTTTAAGCAGTGTATTGGTAGTTAGTATGCTACACTCTAAGAAAAGTCTGTCAAAAAAATAGTGCACAATCTACTATGTTAATATGAAGGAATTTTCTGTATTGATTTTTCCACAGGTTCTATTTTTTACCTGCATTTTTAATTACGCATTTTCGGGTTACAGCGGATAATGTCCTGGGAAATTACTAGCACCTTTTCCATTTTTCAAAAATGGAAAAGGTGGCGAAAAACAACCTGCGATTGTTGATGAGTTCGTAACTAACTCATCAACAATCGCAGGTACAAGCTACTAACAAAGTGTCTCATAAATTAACAGTATTCAATTATGAAATTATTATTATTACTATTAAATTCAACAATTGCAAATAGCAGCTAACTTAATTCCTGTGATGTGTGTACTGCTAAGCATCTTTGGACTTTCTCTTTTTGTGTAATTTAAATGGTAAATTGTGCCTTTTTATTGTTTGAGTCACTTATCAAAAGTTGCTAAAGTTGCCAAATTAATTTTAAAAATAGCTAAATATGTTGCTAGGTGCTTTTGGGGGAAAAAAAGTTGCTAGGGTAGTCTGAAAAGTTGCTAAATTTAGCAACAACATTGCTAAATTGGCAACACTGCGCGCTTTGACTGGCGTAGACGCGTTTGTACAGCGCTGCATTATAACCAATCACACACGATTCTGTTGAGCTTATGAATGCAATGGCCAATCAGAGACGTTCAGATGAGTCC